GTAGTATATATATATATATATATATATAGAGAGAGAGAGAGAGAGCATAACCGTCCCATTGAAGCTTGTAATTCTTTCATTAAGTATATGGCTTTATATATCAAATTTATACCTGACCTTGCTTACATCACAAGCAGAGGCAAATAAACCCGGTTTAAGAGTAATCGTTACATCACAAGCAGAGGCAAATAAACCCTGTTTAAGAGTAATCGTTACATCAAAGTAGAGAGAGAGAGAGAAGGGGGAGCGGGGGATGGGTTAGGGAGGCAGAAGAGCAGCACATGCGTACACTGCACATGTGAGCACCAAGCCTGTAGGCCATTGCATCATCTTCATGGTGGCCCCAACCTTTCTCTCACATTACTAGCTGGACATAGGCCAGCTAAAGGCGATGGGGCTACGGACCTTGTGCTTCTGGTTCGACCACAAAATCCATCCGAAATCCATAGGCCCTGATGTCTTGATCTTGGACGCAAATTCGACCGTGTACCCTTGCTTGTTGCCCACCCCCTTAAACACAAGCCTTTGTGGCTTCACTGTGATCCCAACACCCTCCGGTGCGCTCACACTAACTGTATAAACCGAGCTTGGTTCACCCACATTCGTGAGCACCCGACTATACCTAACCACCTTCTCATACCCCCGAAAAATCACCGAAAATGAGGGGTAGTTCAGGTTTCCAGTGTCCAAAACCTTGTCTCTTGGGCAAGAGAAGTTCGAATGCTTGGATACAATCCGAACTTGTGTATCTGAGTAGTTCAGAGAACAGAGGAAGTCAAGGTAGTCAGAGGTAGAAAGGTCGTATATGAGGCCCGGATCGAGGGCATTTTGAGGATCCACATGACCCGAGCCATGGGCTAGGGGGGTTGATAGTCCACCTGTGGCTGCATCTCTGAGGGGAGAACCAGTGGTATCACGAGTGTAGGCGGTGGTCATGAGGGCTGATTTGATAGCGGCCGGGCTCCAATCAGGGTGTGCAGCCTTGAGCAATGCGGCCACACCACTAATGTGAGGGCATGACATGGATGTCCCTGATCAAAATAAATAAATAAATAAAAAGAAATTAAAAATAATGTAGCATGATACACAGCCAAAAGAGTTATCACCATCTTATCAATTGACGGATGGAGATAACGTGATGCCTTCCAAGATTCGGCAATCCCCTTATGGTGGATTCCACACTCCATCCAGCCGTTGATTAGAACGTTTATGAACATAGCTTTTCTATGATCATAACATCATGACTTACTGGAAAGTGCAAAATAATGTATGTTCAATGGGAAGCTTTCTGTAGCATGCCCTATGGTTACCATCCAGCGTACAAATGGTGGACGATGGGAATCGGCCAACTCTAAGATCTGTTAAAAGGAATTAAATACCAAATAATTGTGATAAGGCTTGAATAATGATGATTCGCAAAATTTTAAAAAACAATTTGTAGAAGACCAATAGGGAAGGTAACAATAACTGAGGTTCTAAAATATGTTGATCCAAATTAGAAACGACCGATCCAAATTGAGAATTGGTAGAACCAATCTGGTTCCCACCATATACGAGAATTGGTGGGTTTTTGCTAAGAACAGCTAATTCTCTAACAAAACCATTCCCACCATATACCAAGAACCTATTGGTTCCTACCAAGAATTAGCAGGGTCGGCCCTATCTTTTAATCCTTTTAATTTTATACTGTTCTCTATTTTTTTTGTTTTTACTAGCCAATGCGTTTAGTCTGATTGTCATTCAAGACCGTCAGTCCACTAATCTATAGTATTTTTTGAGCTTCAAAATCAACAATCAGAGTTGGGGAACAGATTTGAAGCTATCACAAGGTTTTCCAATGCCAGATTTTCTTATCTCATAGAGCCATAGCCTCACCAAAACCTCAACCCTTAATCATTAAACCTAACAATCTACGTTCCTTTTTTTTTTGAAAAAAGGTTGGGATTAGCCCACTAGCTCATACGAATCCAATGACCCAAATTGAATTTGAGCCAATATGACGATCACAGATGTCCGGTAGTGCTTGAATTTTAATTTTTTCTAGAAATCTAAATTACTTAAAATTTTAAAAGTGTGTTCATAAAAAATAGTTGAATATTTGAAAAATATCAAAAAAATATTTTATATGAACTAAATTGACCAAAATACCCCCGAAAAGTTTTGAGGGTATTTTGGTCTTTTTTTCAAATAAATTTTTTTATTTTTTTATTAGGTTCACCTTGATGACATTAACCCACTAGCTCATATGAGCCCAATGGCTCAGATTGAATCTGGGCCGATCAGACGATCACGGATGTCCGACAGTGTTTGAATTTTAATTATTTCTACAAATCTAAATTACTTGAAATTTTAGGAGTGTGTTCATAAAAAATAGTTGAATCTTTGAAAAATGTCAGAAAAATATTTTACATGAACTAAATTGACCAAAATACCTCCGAAAAGTTTTGAAGGTATTTTGGTTTTTTTTCTCAAATATTTAATTAGGTTCACCTTAATGATAAAAACACACACCTAAAATTTCAAGTGATTTATATTTGTAGAAAAAAAATTAAAATTTAAACACGAAATGAAGTCGTGACCGTCAGATCGGCTCAGATTCAATCTGAACCGTTGAGCTCATATGTTTATATGAGCTAATAAGCTAATTCCATTTTTTTTTTTCTTTTTTTTTTGGATAATTCAACAAGGAAGATAGACCCTACATGTTTATTCAAATAGTTTAGAAATTAGTTTTCTTTAAGGTGTAAATAGGATAGTGCAAGTGACAATGAAAATCACAATATAGTGACTAGAATGTGGGGGTGCTACCACCACCCAAGCCCCCTTTGCCAATTTCTCGAACTAGAGCACTTGCATGTGGTGAAATCTTAGAATCATTAATTAGAATACTTGTGTTTTGCGAATGAATCATAAGACTAGTAAGCCATTAATTACAAAATCTCATTAACTAGAGTACTTGCATGTGGTGAAATCTTAGAATCATTAATTAGAATACTTGTGTTTTGTGAATGAATCATAAGACTAGTAAGCCATTAATTACAAAATCTCATTAACTAGAGTACTTGCATGTGGTGAAATCTTAGGATAATTAATTTCGTTTTGTTTTGTGAATGAATCTCAAGATAATAATTCAAGTGATCTTGTCTTATTAAAAATAAATAGCAAGAAAATATAGAACGACACCATTTACATTTAATATAAAATGGTCACATTAATTTTGATAAAAAAAAATGTGAAATTGGGTAGAATAAATAACAAAAAAATATAAAACAAGACCATTTACCTTTAATACAAAACAAACACATTAATCTTGACCAAAAAATGTGAAATTGGGTGAAAGCAATTATTTCATTAACCAAACTCAAACCTCAAAAAAAATTTCGTCAAACGATGCCATAAATAAATCTAATGATCCTCAAGAGCCCTAAACCTTCGAAAATTGGATAAGTAGTGGCGAGTGGATGGATCAGGCCATTCTTGCAAACTGTGTACCTTGGGAACACAAAAACTTTATTTTCGAAAGTGAAAATGGAAGAAACGTGAAGACTACAAAAGAGTGTGGGACAGTGTGACAGACAACGGTAACATATCTTGAAACTTGTACCAAAATCAAAGTCTAATCTAAATCACATAAAAATAACCTGGGGAGAAGGAGCAGACCCTAAAGTTGATGTTGGTTTTCAAATTTAAAAGTAGTTTTTTATATTTCACATTTTATTTTGAAATTGTATACAATAAGACCATTTATAGTTGTTAAATTTGTAGTATATTGAAAATAATGCTATAGTGTGTTATCTAGGTATGATCGACCTTGCATTATTTTTAAAATTTTAAATTTTATAATTAGATACAAAAAAATAGATTTGATGAGCATCAGTGGGATTTTCATCACTTGAACATCTTTCGGCATCAATTCATATATTTATAGATCTACTTGATTTTAACAATTTTTTGAGTTTAAAATTGTATAATTAGATATAAAATAGATTTTTAGATAATCCTAAAATCTTTTTACACCAAAATTACATGTTATGATAAAATTTGAAAGTACACCTTAATTGAATTGTTCAATTGAATTGTTTAAGGTTGCAACCTTATAAAAACCACGCCCAATATTAAATAGTTAATCTATCTTATGTATTTGGACAAACTTTCCTTTTTGTATTCATAAACTTAGGATTAAATTTGGAGCACCCATGCTTTTCCATGAGTTGGGTGAGAAGTATAAACATCCAAATTTAAACTTGATCTGACGCATAGAAAAATACAATTGAAACACAGTATATGACATTAAAAATTTATACTTGAGCATAACATATGAAATATAAGAAATTATTTATGAATTTCAAAAATAAAATATGAATTTTTGTTTCCCTAAAATCAAACCTACCCAAAAGATCCAAACCCAACTTCTCCCATGAAACAATCGAAATCCAATCTTTTGAAAACCTAATATAAAATAATGTTAAAAAAAAAAAGAAGACTATTTTTTAACCACAATTTGGGTTTCAAGTACACACCAAAACCCAGGCTAAAAGCAACCCGTCCAAAGTAAAAGAAAAGAAATGGAGTACCCAAAATATGGCCAAAATTCAAACCAAACAAAAGAAAATAGAGAGAGAGCCTGTAGAGTAAAAGTAAAGAAACCCAACCCAACTGCCCAAAAACTCTTTAGAAACTTGGTCAAAAATCAAATTCTGAATCCCATGACATCACCCAAATGTTTTTAGGTCCATTAGAGAGAGATTGAGAGAGAGAGAGGGAGACTTCAAGTGTAATATACTTTCCAAAAATCAAGAGAAAGAGAGAGAAAAAGGGTAAGGCTTTTACTTTTAAAAAAGAGCAAGGCTGCGAGAGAGTTAGAAAGAGACTGCTGTATTATATAGGAATAATATACGAGACCTTTACTTTCAAAAAAGAGAAGGGAAGGCCTACAAGAGATTTTGATAGAATTTAGATAATATATATAGGAAAGGCCTTTGTATACTTTCCCTATATAATATGTAGGAAAACTTTAGATAAGGTTGCATCTTTAAAATGTAGAATGTAGATGCACCTCAAAAATCTATCAGTTTTGATGTTGGAAACCCTTTTATTTTGGAGATGTATGAATGTGAAAAGAAAAAAAAAAGATTTCGAGACCTAAAAATAGTGTTTTTTGGGACATATTATTTGGCCGGTTTATTTTCAAAAGTTTCTAAGTACTTATAAATCTACTTTGAACTATTTTTGGAAGTTAAAATTTTATACTCAGGCCATCCTAAGAAATTATGACATAAAAATTATACTTATAATAAAATTTAGAGGTGCACTTAATTGTTTAAGGTTACACCCGTATATATATCACACACTAGTTTAATACAACCTTAAAATCACGAGTGGAAGTAGAGAGTTGTTAATTGAGAAAGAGGGCAAGGGGGAAGGAAGTTAAGAGAGAGAATCACGCACGCACGCACGCACGCACCCACCTGAGATGATGTTGAATTTAGTCCTCCTCTTGTCCTTTGCCAATCCGGAAGGCCCGGCCGCCCCGGTCCAACCGGCCAAGATGTTGACGCCGGGTCCGACAACGTCCGGCTTCAGCACCTGTGGCGTCACCATATTTGGCCCTCTCGACGAGAACGCCGCCACCACCGGTGAGGGCCGGACCCCCAGAACTGTCCCCCGGATTGCGAGCGTCGCCCTCGCGATCCCTGATTTACCCCTCACGTAAGCCCGAATTTCGTCCCCTGCCTTTTTCCCCACTGCAACGGCCGGCAACTGGTGGCTATCCGCCACAAGCTCCTCCCCATTTGCAGCCGTGTTCGCCAAGATCATGCCCGCCCCGCCAGCAGATCTTACGACCTCACCCTTCTCGACCCGGGCGTTAATGCCTCGATCGCAAAGTACGATTTTGCCCCTCACTAGCTTGGGGTCTAATGTCCCAGCCAAGCAGAGGTTGCTGGAGTTGAGCCCTGACGATTGCCCATAAACGATGCTCAGGCGTTTCCCCTTCAGGCCTCTCCCACTGTAGAGGGAGACTCCGGTGAATCGCTGGTTGTTGTCTAGAAGGACATAGGCCGGGAAATCACGGTCGAGAGTGCCGGCACCGATGGTCGCGATCCATGGAGCCACATTGGCTAGAGTCGAGGCATCGGGGCCGGCGTTTCCTGCCGAGCAGGAGACGAAGACACCTTTCTCCGCTGCGCTGAATGCCCCTATCGCGATCGCGTCCCTGTAATATGGTGCTGCCCCACCACCGAGTGAGAGAGACAGGACGTCGACTCCGTCGGTCACAGCACGGTCCATCCCAGCAAGGATGTCGGAGCTGAAGCACCCGCTTGACCAGCACACCTTGTACACAGCCACACGGGCCCGCTGCGCCATGCCGCGGGCAGTGCCCCTCGCATACCCGAAGAGGCTGGCGCCCGGGACGGCTGCGCCAGCAGCCGTGGATGCTGTATGCGTGCCATGTCCATCCCTGTCCCTCGGCGAGGCACTCTCCATCGAGCTGTTGCTGCTGCCCCCCAGCCCCTCGGCCGCAAGATATCCTCGTGAGAAACTCCTGGCGCCAATGAGCTTCCGGTTGCAGGCAGAGGCGGGGAAGTCTGGGCCTGACTCACAGGCCCCCTGCCACTTAGGAGGGACAACCGCCATGCCGGCATCGGAGAAACTTGGGCTCTCAGGCCAAACACCTGTGTCCAGTACACCTATCACGACATCCTCCGAGGCCTGGTCCAAGGAAGCCATGTCAACAGGAGCATCATAGCCTCCGAGGCCGAGGAACGCGGGACTACGAGTGGTGTGCAGCTCATAGACATACTCCTCATATACGGCCAACACCGAATCGTAACTCCGCAGCTTTTCGGCTTCGTAGGGGCTCAAGAGGGCGGCATAGCCATGGAAGGCGGAATCGTAGGTGTAGAGGAGCCGAGAGTCGGCATTGGCGTCAGCATCGATGGTGGTTTGGAGCTCGGAGGCATACCAGTGGTCATGGGTTGTGAAGACAGGGGGCATGTGGGCTTTGCTCATGCGGACAATGTATACCCGGAGAGGGGAGGAGGAGGAGAGAGAGAGAGAGGAGAGAGAGAGGAAGAGGAGGAGATGAGTGGTGGTGGTGGAGAGGGCCATGGCCATGGCCATGGCTCTGTGGAGCTGGGTCATGGCAATGGGGGAGTTAGGAGTGAGAGAGATGAAGAGAGGGGTTACGGGGAAGTGGAGGTGAGGGGTTTTTAAATAGGTTGAGAGGGAGCAAACAAACCGAAAGTAATGGAGCATTATGTGTAAAGGGCTACTGGCAAATGCCCTTGGTTTTTCTTCGAATGCCGATGAACACCACCCTTACCGCACTCATCATGCGGTGTCGGTGGACCCGGCCCGACCTTGGTCAGTGTATGGGGTCCCAAAGTTAGACCCGACAGTCAAGTCCGAGTCTAAATATTTTGACCCGAACACTATTCGGGTCCGATCCACATGGACCCTACCCAAATAGTATTATTATTTAAATAATATTTATTATATAATATTTAAATATAAATAAATATAATCATAAATTTTTAGTTACAAATAATATATATATATATGTATAAAGAAAAATGTTTTATGCACGTTGGACCGCATCTCTACATATGCAGTCCAGTAAAGCATCTATCTTAAACATGGATGCAAGTACGTGTTCCATCTAAATACAATGGAAACTAACTGTCAAAATGTTTTCTTATTATAATTATTATCTTTAGTTTTTAAAATTTTTAATTTTTCATATTTATGGATCTCCATGTTAGAGATTACATGACCTCAAAAATTCAGCTCAAAAATAGATTTATTAAGAAGCTCGTATTTTTACATATGCAGCTTGGAAGTATAGAAACCAATCCCTTAACATAATATTTAAATATATATATATATATATATATATTTATTTATTTATTTATAGGTTGGGTCCGGGTTTGGGTTCGATAACTTCTGGTCTAGGACCCGAACCCACCTGATCTATTGCCACCCCTAATCACTATTGTTTACTTCATGTTTTTATGGCAAGCGGCAGCAGGGCTGGAGACCTAATAGGTCGAACTGGGTTTTGGTGTAGATTCAAGAATTGGACTTGATGGGTTGAGTTTGAGTCTAAATTACTATGACTCGATTTGGATTGGGTTATGGGTCTTAGTCTATTATGGCCTTATCAGGTGATGTTGGGTTGGGGTAACCTAACCCAATATTTATGTATAGGAACATGGTTATATAAAGCCGCATCAAAGTTGTAGAAATCTACACCATCTATTTTATTTGAATGGTGTAAATTTAACACTATGTTAAAAGATGTGTCATTTTTTAATATTGTTTTAAAAGACATGTTAAATCTACACTATCTAACTAAAATAATTAATGTAGGACATCGTCACTTTATATCCAAGTAAGGTTGTCACCTTACATATCAATGTACGTTACATATATGTATATATGCAACGTTTTTTTTATATTATAAAAAACTATAATAAATATTATTTTTCTCTTCATCTAAACCTCAACACCACCTAGTGGGCTCATTCAGAGGCAGGCTAGGTTCATCTAGAACCCTGCCAACATGGGTCTAGGTCAGGGTCGATTGACCATGGTTTGAGTTTGAATCCTTAAAGTGAACGTCATAGTTTTGGTTCCCCTGAAGTGGACCTTCTAAGTCATGTTTGGGTCCAACAGATCTAGACCACTCTAGGTTTGGATCCAACTTGAACCTATATAGGTTGGGTCCAAGTTGGGGAATGGCTTGATGCGACTGGAAAATATACAGGTCGATGTCCAAGTGTAACAGACCCAGACTCATCCTTATCTAAGTCTAGTCCGGATCTATCTAGGTCAGATCTAGGTTCGGGTCTGCTTCACCTGGTGGGCATGTAAAGACACAATATCACATAATACCTTGGGCTATTTCAACCGAATTATTTCACATACTCTTAAAAATACTTAATTTAAGGTAATTTGTTGAGGCCAAGTTTGGTAAAACCCCGTTCATCCCAATGAATAAGCTCATGAAAAAATTGCGTAATTGATTTGCACGTATATAAGACTAATTGATTTGCAAATCCTTGGATGGGGTTTCTATAAAGGAAAATTATTGAATAGAAAGTCATATAGGGTGAGATTCCAGATTATGTTGTACAAGTAAAGCGTACTTTCAAATTTTTGCCAAAATATTGAGTCCTAGCATTAGAAACTTTATCATGGTTTGGAAATTCAGGTTCAACCTTGATTATAAAATTTAAAATAGTACAAATAGAGCATATATATATATAATTTTAAAATATTAAAAATAAATGGTCTGAATATGTTGTTACAAGATACATTATTTTTAAGACTTCAGGAGTGTATATGACAGATTTTTTTGGGAGTGGAAGTGCACAAATTATGGAAGATTGCTCTTCCATCATTTCTTATGAAAGGGAGGTCTTCTAAAATTGAACTCATTTTAACACTAAAAAAAAACTGTGTTGAAGGATGCATTTCTACTTTACAGCTTTCACACAGTAATATCAACCACAAAAGTGAGACATTTAACTACTACTTCCAAAAACTCCCACTTATCAAACACGCTTCAAATATTTTTCTGTTTCGTTATATCTATACAGCTCAAGGTCAAGATGATCAATTTGAAAGTTTTCCAACTTTAAAACACCCTTTCCTACTAGATTTCTAAAGTGCACCTTATTTATATAATAGATGATTGGGACCTTTTATAAAAAAAAATTCCATTAATTTAAGACCTGATGAAGATGGAAGTCTAGACATTGTGTTGTGTAGACCCACTACCTTGATCAACTCAGCTTAGAGCTTGTTATATTCACTTCGTGCGCTATTTTGCTTCATTTATACTTGCGATAGCTAATAAAGAAAATGATCTTACAAAAGAATTAAGTGATTTTGAGCAAACGTTTTGGTTTCACATTTTTATTTAAAAGCAATGCAAAAATGCAATACAATCTTATTTACAAGCCCTTTGCTTAGTGTTTTGAAACCCAACGATCTGGATCTGGGTTTCCACCAAATAATGTATCATATTTTGACTATTTATATGCCTATTCACCAATTTTAATAAGAAGGTTCCGGATTGGATACACTTGTACCCAGATCCAATCTATATTTACTATTTCAATCTAAATTTTAGATCCGGATCCAACCCATCAGATCCAACTCTTTATTCACCAATTTTAATAATAGGGTTCCGGATTGGATCCACTTATACCCATATCAAATCTATATTTACTATTTCAATTTAAATTTTAGATCCGGATCCGACCCATCAGATCCAACTCTTTGATCACACTTGGATCCTAATAGGGTCTAAAATTCAGGGTTTGGATCCAAACTACGTAATTTTTTATATAAATATAAAATATATAGTGTAAAAGATACTCTATTTTTTACAAGGTGTGGTTTCTATAAGGTTGCAACCTTAAACAATTCAATTAAGGTGCACCTCTAAATTTTATCATAACATATAATTTTGGTGTTAAAAATTCTTAAGATTATCTTAAAATCTATTTTCGCCTCTAATTATAAAATGGGTTAAAATCAAATATATCAATAAACCTATGAAAAACTTAAAAATGGATAGTTTAAATAATTTGTTACAAGATGCATTATTTTTAGGATTCAAAATCTTTCTCTCTATTTTTTTTTTTTTAATGTTTATATATCTCGATGTGCGGTACTCAATTAGAGGGTTTTTCAACATCAAAACAATATTTTTCGACAGATTTTATAAATGCATCTTTAATTAAAGTTGCAACCATATATAAACTTTTTTCTATTTAAAATTTCTCTATTGATAGAGTTAGACCCGAGCTGAACTAGTGGGATGGGGGTTGGATGGATAGTAGAAGATGTTTGGATTGTTTCATGGCTTAGTGGGCCAAGGTTGTCATGAGATTCCTCCTACTATTCTCTCTTTTTTGTTTTACGGTTTCTTTATCATTTTATTGGCGCATGCATAAGAAAGTGGACGGTAACGGTCAGATATTGCGGCATTTCTCCACATATTTTCTCTCTCCTCATAATTTCTCGCTCCTCACACCTGACAAAAAACACCCCGAAAATTGAGGCGCCTTTAAAGATGGTCACCCATAACACGACAAACCAATTTACAAGTTACCCCAACTTCTTGCTTAAGGACACTTCCCACACGTGTTAAACAGTGCAATGCGCCAAGGCTGGGCTACCATTTCCGGAGGTCTAATCAAGGGAACCCGACTTGTAGGCCCGACTTTGGGTCTAAATTTTGGATCCGAAAAGGCCAGGTACGTGTCTAGGTCTTGGTCTGGTCTGGCTAGAACCGAATAGGTCCCGACCCGATCCGAATAAGATGGGTATTCATAAATGTTGCCCATGCGTTTGTTTTTTTAGAATTTCTAATTATTGTATAAAATATTAATGATTGTGGTACATGTAAGTATTCATTAATGTTGTACAATACTGCAAATGTTCCCAATGATACATGTTGTACAATACTGCAAATGTTCCCAATGATACATGTTGTACAATACTGCAAATGTTCCCAATCATATATATATATATATATATGATAATAACAAAAAGAGCAAAAGAAAAGAAAAAAGAAGGTCATAGGGTGGCAAAAGACCCGACCAAACCCAGGACTTAGAATTGGGTTGAGGTCCAACCAGACTCGCCCTATTGCCACCCTTAGGATAAGCAAATGCCACAATGGGCCAATCCCAATTCGGCTTTCTTACTTCTTTTCTCTCATTTTTTCTTGTGCTGCATCTAGCCTGGCCCAAGCCGAGCCAGGGTTTTTGTGGCATGGTTACAGCTAGGCCAGCCTTGTTGGGATTAAGGCCAAGCTCACCAGCCCTACGTTTAGCTTATAAAGTCTAGGACGGACTTTGGATCCAGACCTGATTCAGGTTAAATCTGGGTGAAATGGATCCAAACCCGTCGAGTCCAATATCCAAGCTTGGCCTTGGATCTCATATTAACTAGAGACTGATCGACTACACCCAATTATTAAGAGCTGATCAACACCTGATTGCCACCTTATGTATTTCTAGGACACTAAATAGTGGGAAATTAACCGAGGACATGACATCTTGATTTCCATTTTACTCATAGGTAGGGGACCTTGCTAAACTACCTAAGAAACCGATCACCCAAAACATGACGAAAGAAATTACAAGTTACCGAGAAGATCCTGCTTAAAGATATATTTGCATTCT